CAGCAGATTTCAGCTCCTGGAGTCAATAGAACAATCCAACCACAAGATCTTCTCCAGACATTAATACTGATTCTCTGTACAGTTGAATGCTAAAAGGGCTTCAATGGACTTGAATTCTAACATGGACCATGTCACTTTTATGAGCTATGCCTTTTATGGACAGAGCCCTATGATCATTCACTGCAATAATAACATATTTAATTGGTTCTGATTTAAGACAGTGGACGTTGGATCACACAGTTAAACTCCCTCCCAGATAGGTTCCCAATGCCACACAGGCTTTTCCCATGTTTCGCAAACTGACTTAGTTGGCATGGATCCTACAGCCTTCAGGAACACACATAAATAGCAACCAGAGGGAAAATTGAATTTGGGGCAGCAAATATAAAGCAAACCCAACATAATCTTGCATGAGCATCAGGCTGCGACCAGTCATATTTCTCAACCCATGGAAAGTGACAGGCAGTGAGAATAATCATAACAAGATTGTGACACTGAATGCCTCCTGTTTGGTCCTCCCAAATATGGGAATGCTCAGCATCGGGAGGGGATAATTCAGCTCATGAGTCTGGATGAGAAGAATGCTGCAAAATTAACTTGGTTCAACATTTGTTAAAATTATTTGCATGTCCACCACCTTCTATATCTATATTCTGTGGTTGATCTTCATATTCAACAGAAAACTGTATCACAGACTCCATCATTAAGCTTTGTAGTTATAAAAGCCTTTGAAAATATTTCAACAATATATTTAACATATGCATGATATATGGGCGTGGACATATTTATTTACATGTATTATGTTAGAATATCTCTCAGATGTTGCCTTCCATTGTGTAAATGATTGCCACCATAAATCACATGACTTGAATTGATGAAGACTCTGCCAAGTTATTTAATTGAATAAACTGTAGGAATTTTATGGGTTTGTTTCAGCATAAATTTATATTTTTGAAAAATGACAAAGACTCTGCAGAATATAATGCGTCCGACTTAATGACTGCATGTTCCTGGCAGGAAGCCTTGCCTGCTGGGCTTGCATATCGAGAAATCATAGGTAGGCTCCATAAATCTTGCCATTTATTAATTCATAATGGATGGGAAATCATAGGGAGCAGGTCTGCCATTTCAGCAGATCTCTATTTCAGCAAAGATTAAATTATAGTAACTGATAGAAAAATTGGCATCAATTACAAGATTAGATGCTTCTCCATGGTATTCACATATTTGGAATCTGAAAAAGTGCTGATTGCTGAACGAGACATTCAGTCTATCTGTGCAACATGCTAAACCTTCTATGATTATGTGTGAATTGGCAGTGATTCTTGTGTTGTTTTTATAGATGGTGTTACAATGACAAGGGTCTGGAAATGTAATGGGTGTGGTTATGAATTGATAAATATCGACTTTCTAGGTATGCAAGTACAATGCCCCAAGCATAATTTCAGATTAGCTGATTTTAGAGTTTCTCCTGGCACTGGGGATGAGTGGCTGGAATGTTGGTGTTAAAGTGAGGGAAAGTTGCGCACAAAACCTAGTTATTTTTCTCACAATGTGTGGATTAGTAAAAGGAACAGTATTTCCTTTCAAAAATGACTGAAGGAGACCAAAGAAGAGAAATAGTGCACAGAAAGGCACTGTTGAACTTTGAAGGATATGCAACAGGCAGAATAAGTTTACATTTTGAGTGGGTGTTGGGTCCGTGTGCGGGTACTAATAGACAGTGTGCAAATGAGGAGAAACAGATGACAACTGGTAGGTGAAAATTACAAACAGTGGTCCAAAGCGAACTTTAAGAGATTAGCTCTGCAAAAGGTTTTTCATGGAAGAGAGATGGTAAAAAGGTAGAAGATTCTGAGGAGGAGGTATCAGGAAATGGGACTGAGGCACCTGAGAGCTCCAACACTGATCGTGATGTGGCAAGTAGTGGATTAGAGTGGAGCAGAATAGTACAGCAGAGTGTATGAAATCAGCCTGTAATGGGCAAAGCAAAAAGGCTGGGGTATGGAAAGGAAGGAGAATCTGAGGTTAGTTTGCAATAAATCTCTGAAGAGATTTGAAAGTGAGGACAAACTTTGAATTTAGTGGTTGCTACTTGTGGAAATAGCTTTATAAAACCTTCTATATCTAGCCAGAGAATCTGATTATGTTATTAAAAGATTTAATACTTCTGTGTAAGTTATGATGCATATACATTCACACAATGCTAGCATTTTACATATAAAGTCATACAGAACTTTCATGCTGTCAGATTTTTCATTTTGCATTCTTCAGCACAGAATCACAAAAATAGCAAATTTTGAAGGGAACAAAATTTTATACTTTTTTTCCCAATCAATCAGCACCCTCTCCTACAGTATAAATTCTTATTCTCTTTGAAATGTGGTATTCTTGCAATTCTGCCCTGATGAGTGAAAGACTAAAACCATTGACTGTGTGTCTCTTCTTTCAGTAATAGTCAGGTTTTGTATAGCCAATAACTAAAGACACAAATATATGAATAGATTATGGATGCTTTCAGATAATAAAAGTGCAACCAGCTGCAGACAGTCACACAATTCTCTAAGAAACTGTGTTCGCTGTCAGGGTCAGTTTTGGAAATTTATGTGATTGTTCTCTGTGGCCCTCTATGTTAAACACAGCGTGCAAACAGATCAGCTCCCTAGACCTAGTGTAACAGTAGATCTGACCATTGCCCCAAAATGGGACACAGTTGTCAACACAAACACCTTTAGACAGCACTGTGCACAAAACGTATGGATGGTTGATTGCGAGGTGCATCATATTCAGCTGCACACTTTGCTCTAATGTGCTGCCAGGGAAACAGAAGGGGTGACTGAAACCAAGGTGTTTAATTCAGTTGGAGCAGATTGGAGTGGACTCCTCGGTTGCCTTCACACAGCGCAAGTAACATCTGTGTAGAAAATAAAGTGTGCTTACTTTACGGAAGATCTTGTTTTGCCCAGTCTTGAGGGATGTGATAACTAGTTAGAGCAACTGTGAAGGCAGTGCAGCAGTCACAGTGTCTCAGTGGGTGGCAATGGCAACAGTAATGACAATAATGCTCGCTGAAACACACAAAGCACATACAGTGTGCTTTTGCAGAAACAGCCTTGTTTTTGTAACAATGAGGCAGTGTGCTTTTACAGCCAATGCACTTAGAAATGGAAAGTAACACCTGAGCAGGTTTGAGGAGTGTACACGTTATCTTTTGTGTAGCCACATATCTCTAACCTTCGCAAGCGCATCATTAGGTCTCTACTTCTTTTTCTCCAAACATATAATGATTGTCATGACCAAGTATGTTAATGAATATAGCAGTAAGCAAATGATTGAAGTGCAATAATGGTTGAAGGCAGATCATGGTATGAATATGGAAAGTGCATTCATAAATGTAATTAATACAGTATATCCAATTTAAATTTTTCTTAACCTATTTACAGTTAGACCATCAGGATCATGCCAGTTTTTATCATTATTTATGATAAATTTCAAGCCTAAACTTGCCAATGACTGTCCACCCAGAATTCCATCACCTTTTCTAAGAAGAATTGTTTTCTGGTTTCTCTTCTAAATGGTTGAGCTCGAATTTTAAGTTTTATTTCCTGTTTTGTAAACTCCCCCCACGAGGAGAGAAAGTTTCTCTAAGTCTACCTGATCAATCTTTTTCATCATTTTATGTACCTTGGTTGAATCACCCCTCAAATTTCGAGATTCAAGGGAACACAAAGCAACTCTATGCAAACTGTAAGGTCACATTCTGGTGACTCTACACTGCATCCTTTTTATGACCAATCAATCTTCCCTGTCAGTTGAATGCAGGTAAGTCTGTCCATGGGTAATCTAACAGTAAGTCCAAATCAACTTTTGAAGTTTCAAAGAAAAAAAATGTTCCTTATGATCTTGGCAGTTTTGTTTTAAAATCTCCAATCATGTTACAGGATGAAATAACAAATTGTCTATGAATAAATAATGGTTGTTGGGGTGTGGGAGGGAGGAATACATGTTCAGAGAGAGCAGACAGATGGGCCACTTGTTAGACAAGTTTTTAAAAAGCCTATTAAAATATCAACTAGAACATAGAAAAATAAATAACAATACTATTTTCTACTTTCTGCAAGGAAAACAAAATTAGCTCTCCAGGGCAGCCCACAGCTAAGAAGTGAAATATTTAACATACAACACTATAAAAAATATTTGTAGAAGCTAGTTCAAGCTGACTGAATGAAAATCCTGATGTTTCTCTGTGTTAAGAGAAAAGAGCCCAGAGCTGGCATATATGAAACAAAAGCCTTGAAATTGCTGTCATTAATATAAACGTCCAAATGTTTTAGGTGCTGTTTTTCAATTATTTTGTTTGGTGTGTAACAAATCTATTTACTTCAAATGATTTCAGCTACCTACTAATTAAATGGGGAATGGAAATTGATTGAGCAAATTTCAAGTATACATTGTCGATAATATTTATGAGAATATTAGCATTATTAGAATGTACATGGAAATCATACACAGAATTTGCAAAACGCAAACAGAGCATCCGGCCCAATAGCTATGCCAGTGTTTATGCTCTGAAGAAACCTCCTCTGAGTCTTTTTATATTATATCATCCTATCAACATTTCCTCTTGCATCTAAACTATTCATTGGAAAGGAACTGTTTCATCCCTGTTCTTAGGGCATGTAGTGTATTATTTGAGAAGGCAGTTTTGACTTTTGAACTTGGAATGAACTGTCAGTGGTAGTGCTATATCCTTGTGAAATTGCATGGATGTACCTTGATACAATAATCACATGTGAGTTATTGACATTTGTTGGGCTTCCTCATTTCAAAAATGTTTTGGTTCTAATTTGTCCTCCAGCAGCTTCTCTGATTTCTATTCCAAGTATAATTGAAATGTTTTTATATATTTCCATACATCCAAATGATGCATGATCACATGTATTTAAAATATCTATTAATAATTTGAAGTGTAATTAATGAAATTCATTCTTCTTTCAAAGCTCAATTGTGCAATGGAAAATTTCACAAACATTTGCAAGAATTCTTTGTTCCGCTGGTGGTGCGTTACATTGATCTAATGGAATCGGCGATTGCCCAATCTATTCATAAAAGCTTTGAACAAGAAACATGGCAACCAGTGAAGTAAGTAACCCCGAATACTTCCCTTTGAATCAGCTTTCCTTTTCTTGTGAAACCAATCTGTTGGTACAGAGCTAGCTTGAACAGTGTAAGACCTTGTCTGTGGTGTCATAAGACGTACAGTTTGGTGATTTAGCCCTCTCATTGTTTTTCACTGCGCATTACTTTGCTGCAAGAACCTGTGAATGACATTCGAGAAATTGAAAAAGGGATCCCAGTTGATCAAATTAAAAGTTGTTCACACAATAAAAGAACACAAATCACGAACACATAAGAACATAAGAAATAGAAGCCACTGAACCTCTCAAGCCTACTCTGCCGTGAATGATCTTTGACCTCAACTCCATTTTCACATCCACTCCCTATGCACCTTGTTTCTCATAGTCCAGAAATCTGTTGGCCACAGCCGTCAATATCTTCAGTGATCTACATTGTACTAGCATAGAGAACTCTCGCTGCAAAATTTGCAACTATGCATGAAGAAATTTCTCCTCCTCTCAATCGTAAATAACTACCGCATTATTTTTACATGATGCCCCAAGTACCAACAATGAAAATATCCCTCAGATTCTACACTAGTAAGCCCTGTCAGAATTTCATGAGTCACTGAATCCATTTCCACAGTAACCACTCCAAAGCCCACAAACAAAGCTGCATTAGGACACTATTTAAACAGGCCAGGACACACTGCAACACTCTGGAACTACGCAGGAAAGAGGAAGAGCACCTACACAAAATCCTCGCTATAACCGGATATCCACGCAACTTCATCCGCAGATGCCTACTAAACAGACAACAACAGGAGGACACAGTACGCCCCAACACTCTGGCCACACTGCCCTATATAAAGAACATATCAGAACTAACAACAAGACTCCTAAGACCACTAGGAATCATGGTGGCCCACAAGCCCACAGCCACTCTATGACAAACACTCACGAGGATTAAAGACCCCATTCCCACAACATGCAACGACTGCCACAAACATCGGACAGACAGGAAGGAAACTAACCATCAGAATACATGAACATCAGTTAGTAGCAAAACGGCACAATGAACTCTCTTTCATATTGGTACATTCAGACAATGAAGGCCATCAGTTTAACTGGGACAAGGTAACCATAGTATAGTAACCAAGCCAAACATAGACACGCACAAGAATTCCTAGAGGCATGGTTCTCCACCCGTAATGCAATCAATAAACATATAGAATTGGACCCCATATACAAACGCGTAGAGATCAAAACCGGAAATGAGACTACACACCATAACAGACCAAACAGTATAAATTCCAAGTGGAGTAGAATAACATCGCTTCATCGGAGGCTCAGCTGATGCTGTCAGCTAGCATGGTGATGAAACATCTGAACGAAAGCAAGCCAGCTCTGCGAGCAAATCAACAACCTCACCATACTTACTGATACCTTTAGCCTCTAGAAATATTTCTATTCTTAAACATTTTCAGTGCCTTGACCCCACAGCCGTCTGTGGTAGAATACTCCATGAGTTCACCCACTGACTGAATTTGTCCTCATCTCAGTCCAAAATGGCCTGACCTTTGCCCTGAAGCTGTAACTTTTATTCTAGACCCTTAGCCAGGTGAAACATCAGCTCCATTCAGCCTGCCCAGCACTGTCAGAATTTTATACATTTCAATGAGATCCCATCTCATTCTTCTAAACTCCAGTGAATACGGGCCCAGTCAACCTAATTTGTTCTCATGGGGCAAGCCTGCTATCCCAGGAATCAGCCTGGTGAAACTTTGCTGCACTCCATCTGTGGGGTTCACCCAGTCTCTACTCATAGGTCAACCCTCTAATTTAAGAATTAGTCTTCAGAACTTTTGTTGTACCATTTATGAAGTACGTATATCCTTGTGAAAGTACATCAGAATTCTTGCTGTGGTTTCATTAAGGCCCTGTACAATTGCAGCCTGATTCTTTTCGACTAAGTGACAGCCAGTCCCTCACCATTTTAAAAAGCGTTCCATTTTCCTATTCTTCCCACAAAAGTGAAAATCTCACATTTCCCCATATTATGCTTCATCTATCATCAACTTACCCATTCAAATACCCTTTGCAGATTTCTTGTATCCTTCTCGTAGCTAATTTTTAATTTTGATTTGGAATGTCAGCAAAATTGAATGCATTATGCTTGGTCCCTTCATCTAAGTCATTAATATAGATTGAAACCTGCTGAAGCCCAAGTAATGTTCCTTGTAGCACCTTATGAGCAACAACAAGCCAATCTGAAAATGACCTGTTTGTCCTGGATAATGTGATCCTCCAGTCTTTAAGATATTCAACCTACATACTGAGCATCACATCGGCACTGAAATTCACATACCACATAACTCATTTCTGTGAGATGCAGTACACCATATTAAACAGCATATCCCTTCAGCTGCTTGCAACAAAAATGGCACTGACATAACCAATGAGATTGGACTTGCCAACCAATCAGAAATCTCCTCTCATGCTGTATTAAAGTTGGTTTTGCCTTTAACTGGTATTCTTGCCAATTATCCTAATGAGTACAAGATGCAAAACTTCAACAAAATGTTAATTAAAAACAGAAAATGCAGAAAATGCTCAGCAGGTCTGTCAGCATTTATGGAGAGAGAAACAGTCAATGTTTTGAGTCCAAAGATTCTTCTTTGCAACTCAAATTTTGAAACATTAACTCAGTATCTTTCTCCATAATTGCTGCCAGACCTGCTGAGTTTCTCCAGCACTTTCTTTCTTTCTTTTTCAGATTCCCAGCATGTGTTGTGTATTTCTTTTATTCAGTAAAATATCTTTGTTCAACAGCATTCAACTTCTATACTACTAAATATCTGCTTATTTTTCTTGTTGACTTTTTTTCCCATTTTAGATTAACTATAAAATATAAATTGGCTGCCCTAGTTATGTTAGCGCAGGTTGATAATTTTCCAGGCTGCTCACAATGAAATAATTTAGTTGAGCAATTCACATAACGAGACAAAGACCAATTTAGTTTTGACAATCAAAGTTCATAGTGTAAAAATAAAACTACTGTCTGCCAGAATTTGTTTTTATTAAAGTATACTGTTCTGTTGGGTTTAAGGTTTATTTTAAGAAAATAATATTCAGACACTGATTCATGCCTTTTCTACTGTATAGGAGATGAAAAGATTGGAATAGTAACTTGTGTTAATTCATATTTCAGATGCTTTATTTTAGTCAGTATTGTAACCAATGGGACATCTTATTCAACCTTAAGTACGATGAATCAAAGAAAGCATCTTTTCAATGCAGTGCACCCTCAGCGGGGCACTGAGCAAAATTAGTATCTGTGCTAAATAACCATTGTTGTTTTTCCAGTCAGTTCTTCGATCTTGCTTTGAAATTTGGCCCTGGAATTAGGGCAGCACGGTGGCTCAGTGGCTCGCACTGCTCCCTCACAGTGCCAGGGACCTGGGTTTGATTCTCTCAGGTGACCGTCTGTGTGGAGTTTGCACATTCTCCCCATATCTGCGTTGGTTTCTGCCAGGTGCTCCGGTTTGATCCCACAGTCCAGAGATGTGCAGGCTTGGTGAATTGGCCATGCTAAATTGCCCACAGCGTTCAGGGATGTGTAGGTCAGCTGTGTTAGCCATGGGAAATGCAGGGTTACAGGGAAAGCATAGAAGGATGGTTCTGGGTGGGATGCTCTTTGGAAGGTCAGTGTGGACTTGTTGGGCTGTATGGCCTGTTTCCACACAGTAAGGATTCTATCACACTGGTTTTCAGATGATAATATTTAACATTTTTGTTTGACGTAGATTGAAATAGATCATGAATTTGGCAAACAAAATTTTGTAGGAATTTTGTTTTAAACAATGCAATTTCAAAACTGGAAAATAATTGTGAACTCAATTATCCATCTATATTTTCCATAACCAGCTGCCTCCATAAGTCGTGTCTAAAAGGTTAAAATTAAACATTGTACACCATTTAAAAATATGCTTCATTTGAAAACACTGTTACCTCCATTTAAAGATTTGTGTGTTCTGGGTAGCTCTAAACTAGAATTTCGGGCCTATTATATTAACAATATACTGCTTTCTGGTTGACATGAAAACACCATCTGTGCCTATCTGTTTAGCTGATGTCTTTGATTCCATTTCAGAAGAGGGAGTTCTCTCTATCTTCTGGCCAATATATGCCTTTTATCCAACATCATTAAACGAGGCATCTGTTTTCTGCCTGTGGGAGTACTGATGAGTTGCCATGTTTGCCAACATGCTTAAAAGAATTTATTGAAAGGGAGAAACTTTGTTGTGGTTTTCACTTCTATTGACAACAAATGACAAGCAGGTGCAAGGCATATATGTTCATTGTTGGTGACCATGAAACAATGGTGTTTTGTAGTCAACTGACAAATGGGTGATTGCCACAGGAAATGTGAATTCCTATGTCTTCCTGACTCTCTGAGGAAGACACCAGCGCAACTGAATACTTAACATCCAGCAGTATGTGTGTGTGTCTGTCTGTGTGTGTGTGTAACTCCAATCTGGACATGTGTGCAACTTTAATCTGTACACATGTACAACTCCAATCTGCCTACATGTGTCACTTCAATCCATATACATGTACAACTGCAATCTCTCTACGTGTGTAACTTCAAACTGTATAGACAGACAACCCTCATCTGTATACACATGCAACTTCAATCTGTACGCATGTACAACTCCAATTTGCCTACATGTACAACTCCAATCTGTACACACGTGCAACCCCAATCTGCACACACGTACAATTCCAATCTGTCTAAACGTGCAACTCCAATCTGTACACACATACAACTCAAATCTGTATACACATACAACTCCAATTTGCGTGTACACAAATTGGAACTGCTAATTGTTTGTGCACATTGTGTGTTCAATCTCTAACATCACTTAGTAGCTTAGTTTACTTTAAGAGTAACAGTATTTTGATGATAAAAAAAATCTGATAAATCCATAACCACATGCTGCAGGCATGTCATCAGGGCAAATTAAAGAAATACAAAGACAATAACTGAGCTAAAATATACAACAATGTCTTTGTAATTCCTAAACAGGGGATTATCAGTTATCATCTGCCGTACTAATATCTCACAGTAGTTCTAAACGATTAGCTGACTGAGGAACTGAGGTAAAAGATGTGTATATGGATTCTTGAACTCACATCAATGAATATGATCATGTGGATTATCAGCAGTTTCATTGAATTACTTTTGCAGTATGAACCATCTTAGATTATTCCTTCTATTAGCTTTGAAGATTATCGTCTTTAACATTATTTTTAAGATTATGACTTCTGCTAACCATTATATCTTCTTCTAAAAGGTTATTCTGAATTATGGTTGTCTCGCAAATCCCATTAATGTTTATAAGTCAATTTATTGTGTTGATTGAACTGTTAGCTTGAGTTGGAACACACTACTCCTCCTTGTACTGAACAAACTGCTTTCTTATCACTGAACTCTGAGAGTTTGATCCCATTGATGTTATCATGACTTTTGTTTCCCACAGGAACCTCACCAACAACCTTGCTAATGTGAGCCTACCAAAAGTTCCAAGTCTGCCTCTTAATCTTCCTCAAATGCCTAGCTTTTCTCCACCATCTTGGATGGCCTCTTTATATGATTCCACGTGTGTATACTGTTAAAACGTGTAGTCGCTTGTTTGTGAAGTCTGCATGCAGTGTACATTTGCTGTTGTGTCAAATGTGTGGGTTTAGCTGCAGGCATGATACAAGATAATGAGCTCCTGTTATTGCATGAGTACCATGTAGTTCATGAGCATTTGATGTCAGTAGTGAAGTTTACAGGGAAGCTTTTGCATGCAACAACTGCTGAGAACAGAAACAGATACTTGAAACAGTGTCCTCTTTTCGTACTGAATCTAAATCGTTCACTGTAACCTTTTTGATACAACGATGCAGAGGAAAAATTGAAGGTCAATACTCATTTTTAGTTTCAGAATGGTTTAGTGGCACACCTAATCTGTGTGTCATAAAGAATTTGAGGACTTTCATCAAAGGGGACAGCATGCTCTGATTGTGTGTTGCAATCAGTGCCAAGTCCAGTAAAATGCAAAGCAACAACTAAAAATTAAAAATGATTTTTTCTGAAGAAGTGTCTAGACCCGAAACGTCAGCTTTCCTGCTCCTCTGATGCTGCTTGGCCTGCTGTGTTCATCCAGCTCTACACCTTGTTATCTCTTAACTAAAAATGTATGTTCTACTGTCAGATTATGTCATTGAAAAGAAGTTAATCATCTTTTAGAAAATAGGGTGTTTTTGGCCTGGTGTTGAGTAGGTACAACAGTAAAGATGCATCTGCAATGTCAGACCAACACACCATTAGAGCTACAGCCTTATCAATGTTTTGTTCGGGACCTGGAGACATCAAACACACAACCAGGAGTAGCTCATTGGCTTCCAGAGGAAATGTATATGCCAAAATAAATGCCATGGGAGTGAATGCTGGGACAAAGTGATGATAGTAAACCAAAAGACATTTGTAGGGCCTGGAAGAGAAAGCCCTGCTCTTTCTAACCTACAAATATCATCTTTTAGCCTTCAGCAGTCAACATAAAAGGAGTTCTTTTGACACCTTCAGAAATAAGACTGGTTCACAAACTTTGGTTGTTACAAACTTTGTCAAAGAACACATTTTAAGTTTCAAATCTGATTGAGAACTGCAGGCAAATATTCAGCACTGATACTTGGTGGTTTTCTAAAGTTAGTTCAACAACTTATACCACAGAAAGTCTGAAGACCATGCCTTCATACAGCAGGTGAGGTGAGAGTGACTGCCTTTGATATCAAAGCTTAATTTGACCACGGGTGGCATCAAGGAGCCCAAGCAAAATTAGAGCCCATGAGAATCAGAGGTGGGGGGGCGTGAGAATCTCCACTGGTTGGAATCATACCTAGCATAACGGAAGATGGTCGTGGTTTTTGGAGGTCAGTTATCTCAGCTCCAGGACATCTCTGCAGGAGTTCCTCAACATATTGGTTATAATATTAACAGTATTTGAAAATTCCCTAGATTCTGGAAAGGTTGCAGGAGATTGAAAAAAGTGCTAATGTTAATGCCCTTATTCAAAAAGAGACAGAGACTAGTTAATTTAATATCTGTTGTTGGGAAATTGTTGGAATCGATTACTAAGGAAGGAATAATAGAACATTTGGTAGTCAAATTGCAACCATCAGAGTTAGCATGGTTGTATGTAGCATAAATCGTGTTTGACTAATTTGCTAGAGACCTTCAAAGGTGTAGCAAGCAAAGTACATAGTGGGAGTCATGTAAATATACTATGTCTGGATTGCCAGAAGGCATTTGATAAGGTGCCACAGAAAAAAAGTTAATGCACATAGTAAAGTCACACTGGGTTAGGGTAAGATGTTGGCTTGGATAGAAGATTGGCTAACCAATAGTAAGCAAAAGAGTCAGGATAAATGGGTCTTTTTCTGGTTGTCAGTCTGTAACTAGTGGGATGCTGCGTTTGATCTCAAGGCCCCAGCTATTTATGGCCTATATTAATGATTTAGATGTAGCGAAAGAGGTAGTGTAGCCAAATTTGCAGATAGCACTAAAGTAGGTGGGAAAGTAACTTGCAACAAAGAAATAAGAAATTTACAAGTGTATATGGATGGGTTAGGTGAATGGGCCAAAATTTGGTCAATGGAGGTTAATGTAGATAAGTCCGAGGTTATACATTCTGGTCCGAAGAATAAAAAGGCAACTTATTATCTGTATGGAGGGAAACTTTGGAATGCCTTAGTGCAGAGGGATCTAAATGTCTTTATAGATGAGTGGCAGAAAGCTAGTCTGTCGGTATAGCAGGTAATAAGGAGGGCAAATGGAGTTTTGGCATTTATTGCTAAAAGACTGGAGTGTACAAGTAGGGAAATATTGCTGCAACTTGCAAAGCAACAGTGAGACTGCACCTGAAGTGTTGCATTTTTGGTCCCCTCGCTTGAGAAAGGTTGTAATTATATTGGAGGCAGTTCAAAGAAGGTTCATTAGATTAAATCCAGAGGTGAAAGCCTTGTTTTATGAGAGAGATTGAGCAATTTGGGTGTTTACTCGCTGGAGTTCAAAAGAATGAGAGGGAATCTAGTTGAGATGTATAAGATACCAAAGGAGGTTGACAAAGTGGATGTAGAGAGGATGTTTCCTCTTATGGGCCAACCTAGAATGAGAGGTCATAGTTTTAGGATAAGGGGTGAGAGATTTAAAATAGAGGTTAGGGGAAATTACTTTTTTCAAAGGGTCATAAACCTGTGGAATTCATTACCCCAGAGTGTAGTGGACACCAGGACACTGAATACATTTAGGGAGGAAATTTTCAGATTTTTAGTTAGTAAAGGATTAAGGGGATATGGGAGCCAGCAGCAAAGTGGAGATGAGGCCGACATGAGATCAGCCGTAATTATATTCAATGGTGGAACTGACTCAAGGGGTTGATGGCCTACTCCTTCACCTACTTCTTATGTAGTATCCTAGGCCTAACCATTTTCAGATTCTTCATCAATAATTTTCTATCCATCATAAATTCAGACATTGACTGATGAATGCTCAATGTTCAGCACCATTTGTGACTCCTCTAATATTGAAGGTAAAGGTAAAGTTTCCATAGTCCCAGAGGACGATAGGGCTAGTATCTCATTAGAGAGAAAGAGATGTTTGGTGGTGCTTTAACCTGACCGTCACCATGCCTCAGGCAAAGGGAGAAGTTGAGAAGGTTACCTTCATGATAACCACAGCCGATGCAGGATTTAAGCCCACCCTTTTAGCATCACTCTGCAAACTAGCTGTGACCACCCAATTGAGCTAACTGATACCCCAACTGAAATAGTATTTGTCCAAATGCAGCAAATCCTGGATAATATCCAAGCTTGTACTGAGATGGGGCATGGAACAATTTTGCCATGCAAGTGCCAAGCAATGACCATCCCCAACAAGACAAAATCTAACCATTACCCCTTGATGTTTAGTTATATTACCATTGTTGAATCCCCACTATTAACATCTTGGGAGTTACTATTGACCAGAAACTGAACTGGGCTAGCCAAGTAAATACATTGGCTACAAGAATAGGTCAGAGGTGTGGAATCCTGCAGCAAGTAACTCATCCCCTGATTCTTCAAAACGTGTCCATCATTTACAATGCACAAGTCAGGAATGTGATTAAATACTCCCCACTTGTTAGGGTCAGGTCATGTCCAACAACGCTCAAGAAACTCGATACCAACCAGGATAAAACAATCCAGTTAATCAGCACCATATTCATAAACATCCACTCTACCTGCCACTAATGCCCAGGAGCAGCAATGTGTACCAACTACAAGATGCACAAGAAATTCACCAAGACTCCTTTGATAGTACCTTCCAAACCCCTATGGCCCCAGTTATCTAGAAGAACAAGGGCAAGAGCAACAGATCATCGTGACTTTGAAATATATTGCTGTTCCTTCAGTGTGGCTGATTCAACATCCTCGAATTCACTCCCGAATTACACTGTGGGTCTATCTGCAGCACAGGGACCGTAACATTTAAAGAAGGCAGCTCATCAACATCTCCTTCAAGGACAACAGGGAGGGGCATTTCATGATGGCCCAGCCAGTACAGCCCACGTCCCCTGAATGAGCAAAGAAAAAAATAAAACCTCTAATTAAGTAGGGACCTAGACTTGGGTCAGTGATGGCAGGGAGGAGGTTACTATATGGAGGTTGCACAATGGAATGGGTGGTCAGTACAAAGAACAGTAGGTGGCTTCAGTGGGCACACCCCTTCCTGATGCCTGGGCTTTAAATCAAATATTGAGTATGTTTAAATGAGGGATCCTCTTACAAGACTGCTTATCATCATCCTCATATGGTGATCAACCTACTGTGTTCAGGTTCGTACCAACAGTGGTGGGATAAGGCCCTTTTAAATGGGCATTAATTGGTCATGTAAAGGTCTCAGTTGACATTGGGGAATGAAGGCCATCCACAAGGTTTTCTTCCATGGTCGTAACTGAGGTGGAACCAGTAGGTAGCAGGATCTCCATGAGCCACACTCCTGCCTGTGCCCCCTCACACCAACCTCCCATTTGACATTCCCCTCCCTCCCCCACACCTCCTAAGGGACAGCACAAAATTCCATGTTGCATTACACAAACGTTTGCAGAAAAGGGTCTACTCAAAGTTGCAACATCAACTTGTACACTGTCATGTTTAAAAGAATCAAAATTAAAGTCATTTAATACTTTTAGCTTAATAATAACAAAATGAAAAGAGTTGAGTCATTTAAGACAGATGAGAAATTTCTTCAGTCCGACCATGGTAAATCTTTGGATTTCATTACTCCAGAGGGCTGTGTCATTGAGTATGTTCAATACAAAAGTTGATAGATTTCTGAAGATGAATAACATCAAGAGGCGCAGAGATATTGCAGGCAAGTTTCATTGAGGTAAATGAAAAGCCGTGGATCTAATTGAAGGGCAGAACTGGCTGACAGACTGAATGGCCTACTCCTTTTCCTAATATCCATAATTTAAATGGGGCATCTTGGCAATTTCAGTGTTGTTTTGACGATGCAAGTTTCTCCCTGTGCAGCTACAAGCCCCAACCGGTTCTACAAATAAACCTCTTCTAA